CGTTTTTTGTGTACTACTAGTATAATATGGTCAGCTTTCAGCTCAATACTTCCTAAAGTTATTGAAACGGGTCCGTTTTCGTTTCAACAACTGTGTTTTTCTATATAAATCTGATAAATGCTGATAGCGTGTGCGGGCGATATGTTATATCAGCTGTTGAGCTCGCTATCCGCTGTCAACCTGTCCGAAGCCTTACATATAATACACAATACCTGCACCTATATACGCCACGGTAATGAAGTTTCAAAGAGAACATTTTAGCATGGAAAATATGAAACATCTGCCGGGTTGAATATCTTTCCACTTAAGTATGTTCTAATAAATGTCTTGTACGTGGATAAGTACCCACAAATGGATCGGTTCAAACAGTTCTATCGAAATACGGTAAAGATTGAAGTACGCCAGCATATTTTTTCAATATCGGGAACACATCAAATAACGGTCACAAAGTCTTTGGTATGTTAAAATAACGAATTCTTTATTAGTTCCCTATAATTTAACAATACCTTTGATAATACGAACTGGTTTTCATAACAATTGGAGTCTTCTCTTTGTTGTTTGTTGATAGCGATATCTCAATAAAAAAATATTTTTGTACAAAATGGTATTTTGTGTTTAAACGATTATGATCCTTGTTTGTTCGAAATAAATGAATTTGAATGGAATTGAATTGAATAAACATTGTTATTGTAATTACGATTACTACATTGTATCCTCACATAATGTGTCACGTACATTTTTTAATATAAATGTGGAAAGCTATTAGGTTTACACAATGATAAAATTATAATATGTGATGCACGCACACAATAAAAGCTCTTACTATCCTGTATAAAAAAATATATAAATGTAATTGATATACGGCTGGCAGACAGGGTTTACTTGCACCGAGGAAATCAGCACGTTATTTAAAATAATTTAACTTTATACTGAAATACAAAACAATTAGGTGTGAACCTTCGTAATCTCCGAAGTTCAACAGTGCAGTCATCGATTTATTACTTGGTAAATCATCACGAGCGGTCCCGCCTCATCAAGGCCAACCGCCCATATCGTATTCCAGGTCGCAGACCACCGCGACCTTGCCTGCTAAGGTCGATTTCCTGTCGTGAAAACGATTTTACTCGAAAGATTTCAATATAAACCTCCTAGTTTATACGGAATGTCACATTCAATTTTATGGAGGGCAATTAAGCTGGTTAGGGCCGGTACTCGGCATTAAACTTCCCGAACGAACGTAAGACGTGAATGCGGGGCGGTGTAGACGTGCTCTTGAACCGTTAAGCGCCGTATCCAATAACAGCGATGTGCCTTTCAGGGTTCATTTTTACACTAACATACACGTTCTCTTAAATTGAGGTGTAATTCTAAGTAAATCCTCTCATTGATCCAGATTAAGACACATCTCTGTAATAAATATTAATTTAATACTAGCTTCCGCCCGCGACTTCTTCCGTGTTAATTGTTAGGTTCCTGTGGTATGCATCATTTAAATATGTATACAGCAGGAAACTAATATTTTTCGAAATAAGTATCCAATGTCTCTATCTTGGGCATAAACTATCTATGTGCACCAAATTTCATCCAAATTCGTTCAGTGGTTTTGCGTGATTGTATAACCTTATAATTATGATCAATACAAACTTTCTCATTTATAATAAAAGTAGGTTAGAAGGATACACCTATACATATTTATATTTGTTGGAGTAAAATAGCCGCGTTGCATAGTTGCCATTCATTACTCGGCTGTCGAGCCCCATGGAGCGGGGGCTTCGCACCGGCCAGTCTGTCGGTGCATTGTCCGCGCTCCACGCCGCCAAGGAGCAGGAGCGAGCGTCGCGCTCGGCTGCGCGTGCGCATCGACATCGGACGACGACCCGTCCTTAATGGATCGTACCAAGTTACCAACTACCATGAGGAGCTCGATGGCGCAAGTGGTTAGCTTTTGCAGTGGTCGGTCTTCGGATGGGTGACTAAAAATTTACTATCTCGAGCACAGATGCTTTGGACGGACGTTAGGCCGTTGGTCCCGGCTGCCTCTGCAGTCGTTAGCACCCACCAATCCGCTCGGGGCCCGCGTGGTGGGTCATGGCCCAATCTCCGTATTCCATTAATAGGGAAGGTCTGTGCTCCATTAATAGGCTGATGGTGATGATGAACTACCACCACACTGCTTTCCATGCAACTCCTCATATGGTGCAGGTCCCGGAAAGTAAGTCTCGCAATCGAAGAAGTTGGGCGTCGGGCGCTAAGCGAAATTTTCCTGATGAGGACTAAATTGTCAACGTTGAGCGCAATTCAGTTTTACCTCAAAATGGCAAAATTGCGAAAATAGGATCTTAGTTATTGCCTAAAAATATTGAACACGTACCTAACGTAATCGTTTTAGAAACTGATGAACGTAATCCTTAGCAATAGGTAATGGATTAATCTTACAAATTTACGTAACTGTGTATTTTGACGGACCTATGTTCAACAAATTTACATACAGTCAACATAATCAACGTTAGATTTATGTTTTTTCTGTTTTCAGTGACCTGAATTTATATATGAGGAGCTGGCGAACAAAACGGTATAATTACATATAATTAAAATTTTAGACGAATAGTTAAAAACTGAATGACATACCTACAGTGAGCTTTTGGCGTGGTTTTTAATTTATTAATTTAGTAATTTTAACACTGTTTAAGGCGGTTTTGATTGAACATAAGTTGAGATTCAAATTCAGCGGGCCCAAAACCAGCCTGGAGACTGTAAAAAAAGTATTTTGACCAGATGCGTAATTATACCGTTTTGTTCGCAAGCTCCTCATATGTAGTTAGGTACAAAAAAAAATTCACAGTCCCATTTATGATGTTTCTTACGTTATGACTGTTTTACAGATAGATTACGATCTTGCCCGTTTATATGAGTGCGCATTAAGAGGAAATGACTTACGCAGAAGTCGAAGCTACTAAACAACTCGTGCTCGCCCGTATTTGGTTCCCGCAAGTGTCGGTTAACTTGTTACAATAGCGATTCTATTAGTCAGTTCACTTTTTATGGCTTTAAGCTCATTTACTTGGTAACCTTATGTGTTGAAGTAGGCGTATAGTCTGCCATGTCAATATTTTGTTTTGTAAATTATTTCCAACGATATTAAATACCCATTTGAACATTTATATATTTAAGGTACTTAATATCGTTGATTATTTCCTTTATTCGTAAAAATTATGAGTAATGAGTTCTATCGGATGTAAATTTTTATGTCCTAAAATCAATTAATGTTACGGCAACAAATGGGGCGGAAAAAAGCATTGTCCTGAGAGTTATCTTCGTGTGACGCACTCATCAGTTATGTGAGCATACATTTTCTGATTACGCTTGGAGTCGAGTGAAAACTGCGCAACACCCGCTGGGAAATTAAACAGTTCGCAGGTCGGGCGGCGTCGTTAATTTGTTGTGTATTACAAAGTAACACAGGAAACGCCTCCACGGCGACAAAACCTCTGACTGACGGAATGACAATATTTAATATGATTTACGCCATTACGTATTAAGGAACTCGATAGCGCAAATGGTTAGCGCATTCGGTTTGCGAACGTTAACCAACCAACAACGAAGTTAAACAACTTTATTTTAATGGCCAAATTTAAGATTGGGATTAAGTCGTTTGGCTCAGCTGCACTTGCAGTCGTTGGCACCCACCAATCCGCAATGGACCGGCGTGGTGGGTCATGGCCCAATCTCCCTATTCCATTCATAGGGAAGGCTTGTGTCCCACAAGTGGGAACATCAATAGGCTGATGATGAATTTTATATGACTATTACGTTATCAGTTATAATGGCAAAACTTATAGCCTTCTCTTACCCTTGGGTGTCAACATCCTCAACCATTTTTTCATCAGGTTCCATTTAGCAAGTAAGTTGGTAGTTCATATTGAGCCTTTTTACCTAATAAAAAGTATATTATAAGTAAAACTTTTTTTGCTTTGTCATATGAAGAGTGTCATAAAAAGTACCTAGTTTTCACATTCAAACCAAACCACATTCTATGTTATATTATGTATCAAAAACGATATCAAATTGGATGCGGCAAGAAATAAAAAGAGGTTATAGTGTGTAACAAGTATGCCAAGTCTACATCAATATTTCATTTTTTTATTCTATAGAGTCTTAATTGTTTATTGTTACGGCCGCCGTAACCCGGTTGGTTTTTTATTAAAACCAACAAAATGTAATTCTCACTGACAAGATGTTGTTGCCTTGGGGATTGATCACGCCTGCGCCAAACAATGAACAATATGTTCATTGATTCTTTACAAATGAATCGGTAGCCTACTTTAAATTTATTGTTGTTACTACTATGTAGTAAATCACACAAATCTATTTACTTACCCAGCACGCTCCGTACCAAACCAGTAATAAAGTTAGCGAAGAAGTCGGAACACTCAGAACTACTATATATGGTTATAACGACTTGTTAGATAAATAATATGTTCAACAATAAATAACTTCACGTGTACACGGAATGATGAAAATGTTGTTCCGTGTAGTTTATAACATTCTGTATGTGTTGTATTCACAAGCCCTTTGTTACTACAGTAGATATATTGAAACAAATTGTGATTCCATGTTTAGTACAACATCATTTTAGACACATAATATGTTCTCATTACTTTAAATAACTAGAAAAAAAGGATGCTATATTTTTTTGTACAGTAAATCGGCACTGACTATGAGCAAACTAAAATCATAAAACAACCTTTTTAAAGCATCACGTATTCCCACAGAACACCCCCTGCTCTTTGCGTTTTCCTGCATCGTGTCTAAGTTTAATCTACTCTAGGGAATGGGGTTGGCTGGGGACATAAAAGTATGGATCAGTTCTGTGTCGAAAGCGTCAATTGCATGGATTTTTATCTAAATCTAAAGAAAACTAAATGAGAAAAGAATCCACGTGGCACTTTTCCTAGTAAAATTGACCCTTGCACTACTTATTTTTTGATTTATAAACAATTGACGAATACATTATACTTATGCATTTAAAATTTATTGTCCTCAGGTTTAAAGTATCTCCACTCAGCGCGCATTTTACATCGGGACATCAAACCTGGTAACCTGCTAGTGAACAGCAACTGTGTTCTTAAGATATGCGACTTTGGGCTTGCGCGGGTGGAAGAGCCAGACGCCAGCAAGAACATGACACAAGAAGTGGTAACGCAGTATTACAGGTCAGCATAAATACAATATTGTAATTGTTTTTCCCAAGCAGGACATTGTCATGATGTGGTGTGGGGGATTCACGGGAGCAATGACTACGACACACTGAAAGTGTGGAATCAACATTGTATTAACTTATTCTACATCTCATTCTTCTGCTTACTATACGTGATTAAGCATAAGATACCTATTCGTATCAAAGAAGTGTTATGAACACGTAGAAGACGTGAATTTCACTTCACCACACATGTACGAGTATTTACTCTAGAACCTCCAGCCAGACCTTGAATACGATGAAAGATTTTATAATTGCGGCAACTTGCTTTTGATTGTATTAAATACTAAAGGTAACGTGTGTATCATTGCTCTTTCTTCGTTGCGTCTAATACACTTACCATTAATGAATATGGAAAAGGTTTTGCCTGCTAACCCACGATCTCCTATCACATAACAAAAGTTAGTCGTAATAACGCGGATCCCACTCGGCACTCGTATCTAGAAATCTATTGCATCATTTGTATCGGAATTTCAGAGGAAACGTGCTTCGCATTTCCTTGCGTACGTTTTTGTGGATTTGTGAAAATTTTGGACCCTTCTCGGGGTGAATTGTTTTGTAGAGTGAATCCTGTTGCGCCTGGATATCGATTTGGCCTTTGTAGATACCTTTTAAGAAGCATATTACAGGCGAAAGTAACTCTGGAAGTAATAGAGTTCCAGAGGGTTTCAATAGGTTTTAAGGGCCTTATAGATAATTTGTGTATTCTGTGTGATTCCAATAAACTATTAAGATGCGAAATCCTTTAGTCGTAGTTCTTTAAAGACATAACTTTAATGTTTTCATAACTTAAATATTAGTAAGTCCAAAATATGGAAGCGATTCCTGTAATGGTCAGACTGGGATATTTAAAATATGTGGGCGGTGAATGAGCGACGACCCACCGGTGTGACCTTTGTCCACCGCGCTTTGGAAATTAGGACACGCTCGTTTTATACGCCCAAAACTCTCGAGGCTATGATTTATGACACTTATGATAAAGAGCGTGTCTTATGACAAAAATTAAGCTTATCGGCTAAATCCACGACCGTGACCATCCGCTCAAATATTTTATTGAGACAATGCTCACTGATCACTTTTTGGGTCACATTGATCTTTAAGGACAGTATCCATTGCTGATTAAATATTGCTCATGACTAATTGTAACATTTACCTAACCAATAACATTGCTTGAATTTTCAAATGTGAAACAGAGATCGTCGAACTATCGCCTTGATCTCGGAAATTCATATAGAGTCCATTTTGGGTATCACTTCTAAGGTAGGCGACCACGTTTTCTTAAAGACAAGTTACTAGATGGTATTTTTAATTCACATACATTACTTTGCTACATGTTTGATTTACTTGTGAATGTATTATTTTCAGAGCGCCAGAGATCCTCATGGGCGCGAACCATTACACAGCGGCTGTGGACGTGTGGTCAGTGGGTTGCATCTTCGGCGAGTTGCTCGGGCGACGCATTCTTTTCCAAGCACAAAGTCCTGTGCAGCAGGTACGCTGACTTTAGAGATGCCGTAGAACTTGCACCTTTTTCTACCTTATAATTTTCATTTCACTTGCACTTTTCTGTTTTTTACCATTGCGTAGTATTAGCTTGCTAGCTAGGTACTGGGGCTATCATCATACGAGGATTACACGATATATATATTTATATTTACAAGCTTTTATATCTTCCAAGCTCATAACCCTGTTCAGCATAATGCTAACTAGAGATGTAGAACGTAACCCCTTGACTCCTTTCGAATTTTATTTGCACTTTGGATTTTTCGTCTTCGCCCATTATTTTAGCAATTTTTCCGAATAACCCCTCTCCTTTTATCGCGGAGTCCTTGCGTGTTAGCCAAGCACTATGCGATGTACATATATGCTTCTAGAAGCTCATGCATGCATGCAATGCATTCGTATGTAAATTCTTTGCCTACTTCAAGATTTGCAAAACATTTCGTGATCACTGGTTTAAATCCGTTTTAGTTGAAAGGTAAATTTAATTTAATCTCTTTAATCATACCATCCCGCTATGTATGATGTCATAGACAATTAAAACTGTAATAAAATGTCGCAATCGCAGCTCCTTATGGTAGCTTGATGGAGTTCGTTTATTTTATTTTGAAAAGGGTTGAACAAACAGGAAAAAATTGCATAACACTAGGTGACGGTGGTGCGTGCACTATGACTAACTATTACAACTAATTAACTATTTATTCATATAACTAGTTTTATCAAGCTTTTCGATAAACAGTTCTACTGTACCAACACTAAATTGGACCACCACAACAATTTTATTATCTTAATTGGCATTAATGTTTACGATCTACTTTACCAAAGCTTTAATTTTCCTATAGTATATTATGTTATGTAGTCCAGTGGGCTATTTTCGCAACACGGCACAAAATTGCCGCTTGCTATTGAAAATCCATCTTATTTCTTTTATTTTAATTAAAATATCAGTGTAAACATTTGTCTTTTACATAAAATTGTACTACAGAGATTTTATCTTGATTGGATCCAATATTTATTTATATTTTACATTAAAGCAGATCGCAACGATTTTATCATAATGAAGGTTTTCTGGAATAACGGGTGCAGGTGGCAGCACCCAGACGATAGGTCTACTCGTCAGTCAAATCTCCTATGTCGTCATAGCCTATGTATCAATTTAAATGCTCGTTTGAATAATTCATGATGAAAACTTTTATACAAAAGGCCACATGTCACAGTGGCGCCAACTTGTGGCGTAAAGGAGATGTTTCATTTTGGGCCAGGTCTATGTACACATTCCTAAAAAATGGTGTATAAACAATAAGCATTCCCAGAAAACTAATGATAATTAGTTTCTTTACCTATACTCTTTACCTATTGGTACAATGAAAAATAATGCCGCGATTCTGCTGAAGTCGTTATTAAGTCTGTGGTAATATTAGTAATAGAAACATATTAAGTTCAAACATGTAATGTGCAAAAAAAAGCATAAGACAACTGAAGCATACTCAAAAAGCCTGAACAAACTATAGTAGCTCAAAAAATATAATATTTTTATTTACATAATAGGTAAAAGAGTACATTTATCAATTTCTGAACTATTGACACTTGACCATAGTTGACACATGACTGACAGTGACGTTTAGTTTTTTTAGACTTGATATACGCCAAACTGACGTTGACAACTATGTTCGCTATTGTAGATTCTGAATGTCATAATTAATTTTAATAATTTCTGTACCGCAAAATTTTGATATTCGGAATTGACTATGTTCTTGATTTCTTTTATTTGTACATTTTGTACAAGACCTAGTCCAACTCCCATACAAATATGAAACATCTCCTTTTCCCAAACACTCATTCGCTCCAACATTTACAATCGAGTTTTAATTCCCGATCGTTCATACATTATGTTAACGTTGAATAACACCGCTGCGTTTCAGCTGGAGTTGATAACGGAGTTACTCGGTACGCCGTCACTGGAGGACATGCGGCACGCGTGCGCCGGCGCCCGCGCTCACATGATGCGGCGCGCGCCACGCCCGCCCGCGCTCGCCGCGCTCTACACGCTGTCCGTGCAGGCCACGCACGAGGCCGTGCATCTACTGGCGCAGGTGTGTATCATCATTACCAGCCTATAAATGTCCCCACTACTAGGACGCCACCTTCCCTATGGCTGGTCTGCCTAGACCGTGACCCAAAACGTAGGCCCAGTGCAGATTAGTAGAAATCCTTCTTTTTTTTGACCCAGAGAAATGCGTAACTCATACCATACCCCGTCGGTGGGTAGGCGACGGGGTTATGTGGGACTCCTCACCCCACCTACTCAGCTAACCCTAGGGCTGGCTGAGTGGCTGCTCGGAATGGACCCACTAAAACTCTGGGATGCGCCCTCCTTGCCAGCGATGGCGGCATGGGATCCTTACTGGGAATCAACCACAGTTTAGTAGGTATCCTACCTATCTGCACTGATTTTCGATGGAATAGGAAGAAATTGTGATGGATAGGGGAGGGCACTGGGCCTAATCTGCAACGGCTCTGGGCTCAGTGTGGATTGGTGGGTAGGATCTTTTTTTATAGAATAGTAAGATTGAGTCATAACTCGCCACGCAGCCCAATGCCGATTGGTAGGTGGTATATAAATATTTTTAACTTAGTTCCAACCGAGTATCAATAAAGAAATAAAAACTTGTTTATTGCAGTCTATCAGAAAGTTCAGAAACACTTTATACAGTGATTAGAACTAACCTAGTTGGCATTCTAGAATGCCTGTGACAGGTGGCTCCGCTTAGCGTTTCATAACATTCAAGCATGTTTTTGCATTTCTTTCAGATGCTAGTGTTCGACCCTTCGAAACGCATCTCCGTAGTTGACGCGCTCGCCCACCCCTATTTAGAGGAGGGCCGGCTCCGCTACCACTCGTGCATGTGCAAGTGTTGCTACAGCGCTCCGCCTGCCGCCCGCCACTACTCGCCCGACCTGGAGCCCCAGGCGCCTCACCCCTTCCACGACGCTTGGGAGAGGAAGCTGTCCTCCGTGCACCAGGTCAAAGGTACACTACCTCTCGTGCAGGTGCAAGTGTTGCTATAGCGCCTCGCCAGCCGCCCGCCACTACTCGCCCGACCTGGAGCCCCAGGCGCCTCACCCCTTCCACGACGCCTGGGAGAGGAAGCTGTCCTCCGTGCACCAGGTCAATGGTACACTACCACCCGTGCAGGTGCTAGTGTTGCTACGGCGCCCCGCCCGCCGCCCGCCACTACTCGCCCGACCTGGAGCCCCAGGCGCCCCCACCCCTTGCACGACGCCTGGGAGAGGAAGCTGTTCTCCGTGAACCAGGTTAAAGGTACACTACCATTCGTGCAAGTGCAAGTGTTGCTATAGCGCCTCGCTAGCCGCCCGCCGCAACTCGCCCGACCTGGAGCCCCAAGCGCCTCACCCTTCCACGACGCCTGGGAGAGGAAGCTGTCCTCCGTGCACCAGGTCAAAGGTACACTACCACTCGTGCATGTGCAAGTGTTGCTACAGCGCTCCGCCTGCCGCCCGCCACTACTCGCCCGACCTGGAGCCCCAGGCGCCTCACCCCTTCCACGACGCTTGGGAGAGGAAGCTGTCCTCCGTGCACCAGGTCAAAGGTACACTACCTCTCGTGCAGGTGCAAGTGTTGCTATAGCGCCTCGCCAGCCGCCCGCCACTACTCGCCCGACCTGGAGCCCCAGGCGCCTCACCCCTTCCACGACGCCTGGGAGAGGAAGCTGTCCTCCGTGCACCAGGTCAAAGGTACACTACCACTCGTGCAGGTGCAAGTGTTGCTATAGCGCCTCGCCAGCCGCCCGCCACTACTCGCCCGACCTGGAGCCCCAGGCGCCTCACCCCTTCCACGACGCCTGGGAGAGGAAGCTGTCCTCCGTGCACCAGGTCAAAGGTACACTACCACCCGTGCAGGTGCAAGTATTGCTACGGCGCCCCGCCCGCCGCCTGCCACTACTCGCCCGACCTGGAGCCCCAGGCGCTCCCACCCCTTCCACGACGTCTGGGAGCGTAAGCTGTTCTCCGTGAACCAGGTTAAAGGTACACTACCATTCGTGCAAGTGCAAGTGTTGGTATAGCGTCTCGCCAGCCGCCCGCCACTACTCGCCCGACCTGGAGCCCCAGGCACCTCACCCCATCCACGATGCCTGGGAGCGTAAGCTGTTCTCCGTGAACCAGGTTAAAGGCACACTACCATTCGTGCAAATGCAAGAGTTGCAATAGCGACTCGCCAGCCGCCTGCCACTACTTGCCCGACCTGGAGCCCCAGGCGCCTCACCTCATCCATGACGCCTGGGAGAGGAAGCTGTTCTCCGTGAACCAGGTTAAAGGTACACTACCACTCGTGCAAGTGCAAGTGTTGCTAAGCGCCTTGCCCGCCGCCCGCCACTAACGCCCGACCTGGAGCCTCAGGCGCTTCACCCCTTCCACGACGCCTGGGAGAGGAAGCTGTCCTCCGTGCACCAGGTCAAAGGTACACTATATTATACCCATACAAATTTTAACCGTGTCCTTTATAACTTGTGAAATGTTCTGTATAGAACTCCTGATTACATAGTGATGTGTTCATTCATCTGTATTTCATTAAGATACCCCATCTGTTTTGTTCTTTAAAGTTTCTATAATATGTATGATCGCATCTGGACTTAACCACCACTTAACGTCAGGTGGGGTAGAGTTATTTGCCAACCTATCTACAAAAAAGAGATTATATGGACTCGTGTACAAAGCCCCTCACCTTACGGGGCTAACCTCTAAACCGCTCGCTTATCTCACCCGCAGAGGAAATCCACAAGTTCATAGCGGAACAACTCCAGACATCGCGAGTGCCTTTGTGCATCAATCCGCAATCGGCCGCGTTCAAGAGCTTCGCAAGGTAAGGCGCAGCGCGACAACAACCGCAACCAACCGACACTATATAGGTGATTTATTTGCGATACGTTTCATGGGATGCGCTTGCGATGCTTCTTTAGACTTCACTCACGGTCCGGCTGCGTTCAGTTTTATGTGGACGACTTTTTCGTTGTCAGCGCGAGTTTAAGAAACTTTTTGGTTTATATAGATGACTTCTTAATTGTCAACGCGAACACAATGACATTTTGGTTTGTACGGATGGTGTTTTCAACACTAGTAAAGTTTATATGGATAATCTTATAGTTGTCGGTGCAAGTAAACTTGAAAGTTTATGTGTACATTAATGTTTAATTTTGTATATTTTTTTATACAAATAATTGTTTAATTACACTCGTATGACAAATAAAAGTGTCAGTGTCATGTCAAAAGAAAAACAAAAAATTGTTCCATGTTGAAAAAAAAATTTATCACAGCAAAAAAGTATTTCCAGCTCTGTACAAAAACATATATAGATTATAATTGGTTCACAAACTGTTGTAGGTCTTTCACATAACACTAGATGCAGCCTTATTCACGGTGAGCCTTCTACAGATATGAAACTGTTGTTGATCAATACCACAGATACGAATTTCTCTTTCATGTAAGTCCGCGTCTCGCAATCATCAATTTGCTATGTGATCCTGATATATTTTGCAAGTGGTTGTGAAAATCAAACAAAAGAAAACAATACGAACATAGAGAAATACTAATTAGGTTTTCTATCTGTTGAATGTGATCGCATTTGAAGTGAAGGGATCGCAGGCGCGTCTCCCACGCCCCGCCAGTAGCGACCACCCGCACCCGACTATGGGCCACGCCGTTCTATTCCCATATTCACGTGTAGACAACATTATCGAACAAATAATATTAATTTTACGGTCAAAGCATTGAAAAAAATCTAAGTTGTGCTTGCGCAGTCAAATTTGAAATCGTTTTAGGGTCAAAACCACGTGTTTTTACCCTAAAATACCGCTTCGATATGCTTGCGCTATCAAAACGATTGCTACTTTATATTTTTTGTTTTTTTCATGAAAGTGTTGTCTTCGCGTGTGACAAATGAAAAAGTAAAGATAATAAATCAGACGAAGCAAACGGACATCACAACTAGGTGTGGCACCGTGCTATTTGTTTAGTGCACATTCAGTGTCACTAAGTTAATTGTTTTCATAGTTGTTTACACAATGTGGATGGATGGGTCTGAGAATTCAAACAAATATGGATGACATAGCGATGATACGGAAAATTTCAAAAGTAGTTTGAGGAAACAATTTCTTTTTCTAAATTATAATTATATTCTATAACTGTTTAGCTGCCTATGCCGCCACTGATTATCTTGGGTGTAAACCCAGTCACTAAAATTTTCAATGTTATAAACTTTGATTTCTTTTTAAATATCTCTTTACGGACATACTATTTCGATAGTAGTTTTATTTTAATATTTAGAGAAATACCTAGAAAGATTAGTATATTTAAACCAAAACAGTAATAAATAGCCAAAACAATTTAGATTGTAGTGTAAAACAATAGTAATTCGAGAAATGCTGTCATCTACGTTTGTTTTCCTCGATCTATTCCACGACACGTTATTTACTAACGCGTGTGAAGGCACACGACGTCTGAGCTCGGTGGTCGCAGAAGTAATGAACCTAAATCACTCCCGCACCTCCCCACCACAAAACCTACCCCCACTCTTCCGCCAATCGTAGTGTTTTTGCAGTTTAAAAATTTGCCTTTGTGTACAGTAAATGCCACGACCCGATTTGTGCATGGGTTATTATTTTGTTTTACTACCTACTACATATTTATTTACACGCGTTTTTGTTGCGACGCTATCACGCGCGATTCTGAGCGATACTTTTGTCAGTCTGTTGTACATTGCCAAATGCGAAGCCGCTGTTTTCAAGCCACATCAACCCTCTTGAAATGGTGGTTGTATTTCACGCTCTTCCCTGTTACCCGTAGTGTACTGCCGTCATAAGAAAAATGGTTGCAGCTATCATTGTTTGAGTAAACTATACATTCGGGATAAAAGCAAGACTGCTTTTTAATGTATAATTTTACCGAAATCTTGGGTTAGACCGTGAGCTTAATGAGCAAAAACTTCTTAAATGTAAAAAATGCTTTGAGGAGTTAAGTTAATAAAATATTAATCCCTATCTGAAATATAAATGACAAATATGACGTTTTTTTTTTAACTTCAAACTGGTTTAATATGGATTTTTTCGAATTCATCATAATGTTAGATGCCCCCTTTTTCATTAACGACGGCGGTGTAATTGTGCTTTTTTTCTGTGTTTTTTGCGACAGCTCGAGAACCGGCTCGGGTTCGAAAGCAAAGGTTTGTTCCCCTTTCAAGACGGCGGCAAAAATACTACTGCTATCGCCCGTGATATTTCTGTGCGCCGCGTAGCGTGACCCTCCTTCCAGTAAGCTCACTGGCACTCTATAGCACGATATTACCTGTGTTGTCCATCCGTTGTACGCGGACGAAACTCGTTAAGGCAACTTTAATAATAATGCTATACTTGATGATAAATTTATTTCAAAGCTTAACTTGGACTCAAAATTTTTGATTTACTACATTTGCTCTTAATATCGATGTTAGTACAGAATAAAGAACTAAAAAAAATTCGGTTGTCTGTAAAGTCGGTTTGGACGATAGTTTTACATGATAACGTTATAAAGAAACATTGATGAAAGCTTGCATAATTGCTAGCTCTGACGTCACGCGAGAAGAGAGATAAATGTGTTCAAGTCGACGCTTGGGCCGATCGTGCCTCTTTATCGCTTGTTTCGCGCTTTCGTTTGCACGCTTAGGCGGAACGTGACACTTTTTCGTGCGTTCAGCCAGTGTTCATAGATTCACAAGACGTTATCATGTCAAAAATAATTTTTCGAATTCTTCTTGATAGAAAAAAGAGCAAAGTTATCCAAAAACTGACAAATTTCTCTTGAGCTTTGTGCTGCTTCACAAACGATGAGGGAAATTTTATACTTTGTTGTAACTTGATGTACGATACCGGCACTTCACGTGGATATTCGTATTTGCTACTTGTCATTTTCACAACAGGTTGTCCTTATCATACTTTATAAGGAGTGAAAAGGACAGACTGTTGTGAAGTTTACAAATGGCACATACAAATAGTCATGTAAAGTGCTGGCATGAGACTACTGTTTCTAGCTACATTGAACTTTAAATAAGTTGAAATAGAGTCTTGTTTCTAATAACTCGATAGTAGATCGGAGTTGCCTTCGCGAGCGTTAGTCTTTTCGTAATTTCAAAAGGGTTGATCGTTAGTTTGTTTGCGACGTTCTCTATCTTTCGGTGCGGTTGCATGATTGTAATTGACCCTTACATTATTATCTCTACATACTACTAGTAAAGAAAATTCAATAGAAAACACTCTTACATGATCAGAAAGCTCATGTTTTGATTTTACATGATATTATAACGCTTTGTTGGAACCTTTCTACGTTATGTGGACACGTCTTTAAAGTTCTTCTCATGCCTTTCCTACCATGCATTGGATTTTAGAAGATAAATACCTACCTGATGAAATATTTAATTAAAAAACATCAAAATTTCTTGAAACATACGAAATTGTGTAAAAATTACTTAAATCACAATTTTTATAAAATTATAATTGATATCCGATAAATATTAAAAGAGGATTGATAGCCGGTGACAGTAAATTATTACATAATATATGCCAAGAAATGTTACTCTCACTAACACTTAATTTAACAACTCGAGGCATTTTTTTTTAAAACAACATTTATTTTATACTTTAGTTTTAGTCAACAAAGTTGATTAATATTTTGTTTAAGTTGTATATTTGCCTCGTTTCTGAATTCCGTGTCACGCTTTTTCGATAACTATTTAATTAAGAATTGCAATATGGCAACTACAAAGGGACCGACAGATTCAGCTATCCTGTAATATTGAAATATGCAAGCTTTAAAATGAAGAGTGTGTGCGACAACAATAATATAATAATCTTTATATTCTTGAAAGTTTAAAATTAATATCCAGTATCATATTTTAGAAATCTCTGAAGTAGTAGTATCAGTATTAATTAAGATCACACTCAAAACAGCTATGATGTAGGGGTTACTTTTTACCAATTTCCATAGACTACAGTCTTATGATCCGGTTCGAATGTGCAAATTTCTTTGTCTATGGAAAATGTTGTTATGTTGTTGTTCTGGGATGGTTCCGTAGTGCATGCTTAGAGGAGAGCGAGCTCAGTGCCGAGCACACTTGGTTGTGGTGATTTTTTTGATTATTTACATTATACAGTAGCTAAAAGTAGTTTGATTTGTGATGCAGTTTTGCTATAAGAGTTCTCTTTTATTATCATAGACAGTTTGGATCGATGACTTTTGAATTTTCCAAATTTTTTATATTAATAAATTAAAAGTTATGCATGATCAGTTTGTTCTTGGACTCAAATGTAACGGTAACAAGGTATAACAAGCGAGACCGATCAACGCCCCCAGGTTTGTCAATCATAAAATATATTTAACTCGAGAAAACTTCGATTATTAGAATGTACGATAATTCCGCTGCTATAATCTACTTAAATAGAGTGCGTGGCAAGTTTTAATCTTTCAGCCGTCAAATGTCTGTACTATAAGTTACATAAGGATATTGAGTATTCCTTGAGAAATTTGATCTGTAAAGTAAAATAGTCACGATTAACAAACACTGGCTCGTTCTTCGGTCCCGCTCGGCCTCGGCCCGTATATGGTGTGCGTGCGTCGCATTCTACAAAGCGACAGCGGCACTAACCGCGCCCCCTTGCAGCTCCACCGTGGCGCACCCCTCCGAGCTGCCGCCCTCGCCGCACCAGTGGGAATGACGCGCGACCCCGCCCCACAGACCCCGCCCCGCGCGCTAGGATACCCCGCGTCACACCTCTAGGATACACCACGTCACACTGTCACCGGTCACACAGCGACGGCGGCACTAACCGCGCCCAGTCGACACCGCCCCGCCCACTAGGATACACCTCGTCACTGTTCAACAAACTAGGATACTCTTAACCATCCAGCGCGCTAGGATACACTACGCCACACCGCCCAGCGCGCTAGGATATACTACGCCACACCGCCTAGCGCGCAAGGATACTCTACGCCACTCAGCCTAGACCGCTAGAATACACTACAATAAGCAGCCCCGTCCGCTAGACCACACTACGTCACACAACGCTACATACTCTAAACCACACGCCACCCATCGACGAAAGCCACGCAGACGCTTCATGACGGTATCAAGCCAACATTGAAAATTATTGTGTACGCGGTGGATATTAAAGAAATTACCTTACACTGACTACACTTATAGATTTTATCAGCAATATCGAGCATAACGTCGCTTAAAACAAGCGTGACGCTATAGAAAACAAAACGGGCGAATTGATTGCGATTTTCAATTCCATTGATTAAGAAATTATACACGATTAAAACTTGGATGTAGTTCAAACCTAAGCATCATGTGGTCAGTTTCTTAACTTAATCGCGTTTTACGTAATGTTCATTGATAATTTATTTGAAAAGTTATTGTATTGTACTAAGATTTACATTAGATGGCGCGTCTGGAATGCCATAAGATTTACGCAAACATGATTTTTACAAATTCGCTCTTTCCTTGTGTTTTAAGGGCGTAGATGCAAACTTAATCCAATGTTCTGCTTTCATCTTAGGTTAAATTTAGATCTTTGCATTTAACATTTTAATACTTTAGTAAGTTCAGTAAAGCCTGTTTAGTAAATAAATACACTGTTATTAAAAAAAAACAGACTGATTACTGTTTTTGTATCTACGCCTTACAATATTTTCAGAAATAAATATAGAGATATGGTGGCTCTTATTTGTTTGTGTGATATAAATTATCTGTAAATGTATAAAGTTCATGATGTGTGGTCATTTTATTAAGCGGATATGCTGTTCTTTTATTAAACAAACAGTATAATGGACGTATTAAAAAAAATTAACAGAAAAAATATTTTAATTATCCTATTCAAACAATCTAAAAATATAATTGTTAAATTTATATAATTCTGTTCTATTTCATCTAATTCAAATCATTGTTGAAAAATGTGAAATATGCTTTTTTAATTGAATTGACAAATTTGGCGTTAGTGTATCAAACATACATACTACATGTAAGTATTTTTATAATAGATCAAATCAAAAGCAGACTATTCAAAGTAATATGGTTAAAATAATTTCGATGTTAACATATTGCTCACTGCTTTACAAACGGGTGTCTTGTAAAATCTCATTAAAATGTATACTTGTGTGCATTTATATTAATGTCAATACACGGTTATCTTTATTTTGCCGCATAATAGTGGCTAGAAAAACCTTGGAGCTGCCCAAGGAACCTTAGGCTAATTTAAATTTCAACTGACGTGAAGGAACGACGTAATGCGATTACAATCGCGCGTCGAGTCAGTAACTCAACCAAATATTTTGTATTCGTTTCTGATGTTTACTTATAGTGTAGTGAGTAGCGACTGTGTCAGTCAGTAGCTTAGTATAGTTTGTTCGCATCCTTGGATTGTAAACGGCGACGATGTAAGGAAATGTTTTACGTTGCGGCGCACAAGTCGCGCAATTGTACAACGAAAACAGTCGCTGACGAGAAATGATAAAAGGCGTCTTGTACGATGCCCGAAAGGAATGACTCGCTCGCTCCCTCTAACCCTCTGTGCCATTTTTTAAACTATTTAACCGCACGGTCAAAATGGCGGCTATTAGGATGACAATTCAATAGCTCTGTCAATAATGTTTCAGTAATGGAACAGAGGGCGAGTGGAGTCGGCACACTTATAAGTAAAAAAATACGCGTAGTTAATTTAGGTTTATGTTCATTTATATTTGCGATTCCATGTAATTGTAACGTAGTCTTCAGTGTGTGCCTGATTGTGTCTGTATGAACATTGCAAGCAATAAGAGTTGCAATATAATTAATGAATATAATATGATAGGGTCGATTTTTATTTACATGACGAATTTTTGTTGTTCACTGTTTGTGTTCTTGTGTCGTAAGTAGGGTTGCCAACTTTTTTTCTATCGAATATAGTATTTTCGAAGCTGTTACCTCTAAAAATATAGTAGATGGCAAAAAGATGGAAAAAATATAGTATTTGGTTAAAATATCTCCTTTATTTTTAAAATGAATATATTTTTGCTCTTCCATGCCTTAATAATTATTTTTTTTATTTCTAAGAATGCTTTTACTGGCAAAAATCTGTTTTAAGCTAAATATATATATTAGAAATATAGTTTTTGATTTCCTCTTATATTAGGACATTATATTATATAGTAGGGTTGGCAACCCTAGTCTAAGTAAGGGCGCGTGCAGACGCTCGTTCAGTACTTAACGATTGCAGTTGTGTGCGAACACGCGAATCTCTCGGCGGCCGTCTGCGCGCGGCCTAACATCTCTGTAACATACTTATTGTAAGCTTACTTCTAAACACCATTGTATGTAACATCGACTGAACATTTTTACATAGTTAGGTTAGATAGTTTTAGTATTAATGACTTACTAATTTACTCGGCAATGATTATAAAAGTATAATTAAACCTATATAATATAGATATTGTGTACGAGTAATTTTCACATACTATCAATCATCGCAGTAGTGAGACAATTGTATAGCGACATGTTGTAAATGTAATGGATGAACATGCGTATTTCGTGCATTTAATAGTTTAGTTGTTTCGTGTAAGTGGACTTGGGATGTGTTAGTGTGCGTGAGTACTTTCTATTGGCTACTAATTATTAGATGACAAAATTATATTATTGTAACTGTAATAATATGTTCCAAAATTGATGTTTTACTTTTATGTTTATGTAGGTGTCAAATGTATATTGATACATCACAATAATCACGCTGCTAACATTGATAACTAGAATAGAAAGACTATGTGTGAGTGTCAAGAGACGTCGTAGCCTTAAAACTAGTTCAAAACTATATAAATGATAAAAAAGTTAAAAAAATGTAAATAAATAAAGAATAGTATTATTGTTAGGCCCTAGTAAGGTACGGATTGTATGCCGTTGTAGGAAACCCACACAAAGTAGGTTGAACTCCTGTCTCTACTGTTGCATACCGAACTTAACCATAGCGAATAATACTTCACATACAAAATTTTGTCTGTGCTTTCTCCTTTGAATAGTAAAATTTATAAGTATGTACATTGTATATTGGCACAGATATGATAGTTATGTATTATCTTATTTCAGACATAAAATAGATTTTTAACTACATTCTAACATCACATAAGTTCTGGTTTGCAACAGTGTGGTTTGGAGGGTTTCGATGGTACAAAGGAGGCGTGACCGATGGCGCATACATAGACAATTTCTCGATTTTAATCTAAATTCACCTTTTTTTTGGTTGTGCTTCGTTTCAAAGTTGGAACTACATGTTTTCATGTCCCATAAGTTAAATTAGTCAAATGATATTAATATGCTAACATATAAGAACCAAAACCGCGTTGATGAATACTTACATTTCTAAAATATTCTCAGTTCATATCACACTTTTTATAGTTCATTTTGACGACCTCCGTGGCCGAGTGGTTTGTACGCCGGGTTTCATGGTGTCGCCGACTCGAGAGGTCCTGGGTTCGAATCCCGCTGGGGGCAGATGTTTGTGTTCCATTTGCATTAGTACTCCAGTCATGGATGTTTAATATGTATTTCATTATAAATATACTTATATATGTGCAGTATATGTATTCTATCGGTTACCCTAGTATCCCACAACACAAGCCTTACAGTGCTTACTTTGGGGCTAGGGTAACTGGTGTGAGTGTTGGAAATATTTATTTATTTATATTTATTTTTATAGTATGTACCAATTAGTACGCTTTAGGATTGTAAATAAAGATTATATTGTTTTATACACGCGTCGTCGGTCCGCGACAGACCCCACCTTGCCTTATCTCAGATAACTGTTACTGTGATCCGCTAAGTGTAATTATTGGACTCTGCTACACAAATGACAGCGTGGGCTGCAATCAGATCGGTATCTTCGAATGAGGCCTTAAATGGTTAACATTAAAACTGCCCCAATACCTCATTGACATGACACCAATTTTAAATAAGAAAACCTTTTTTTAATTCAAATTTTGGCATTCATCGTAGCGCAAATGCTAAATGTTTTCTATAACTGTATGCCCTTAAATTGAGCCTTATGTCTCATGCAATAAAGTTCATAATACAGAATGTGCCGATCCGTTTGCGTCTACCAGCTGTGACTTAACAGTTCGGCCGGCCCCGTGGCCTGTACATATAGAAGAGTTAGGTATTGCATACGTTTATTTAGAGACGCTTGCGGCATCGCTTACTGAGTCATCACTCCACACGTCCTCGATACTCTTACTCGATGTTTGTAAATAGGGATGTTAGTAGAAAGTATTCGATTTAATGTAATCAAGGGCGAGGCCGGATGTCCCTTCGTGTTAATGGCACGTTCAAATATTAGACGAGGTACGCTTTTGCACCATAAAACAATAATACCGTTTTGATTAAATTCTGTGATAAATAAAATAGGATTACCCGCTACTGTTCTATATTTCAATGTGATAAAACTTTTTTATGAATAGATTGACGCGTTACAAGATTATGGCGTAGTTTCCGTAAGACAATTTATGGATTATACATAGTTGACGGTGCCGCAATAAACTCAACGCTTGCTTTATTTAGGAGAAAGATGCAAACTGTCTGTGTATGCAAAAATAGCTTTTAGGTGCATTCCATTAAAATTTAATTTACTTTTAGTTCGCTCCGTCGTTATTCGCACTTCATTTGGCTATTCGTGTTTGCTATTTGTAGATTTGACAACAGTCTGTCCTTATCATGCTTTTTATAGAATGAAAAAGACAATCTGATGTCAAATTCACGAAACACGAATAGCTAAAGGAAGTACCGGCATAACGAAGTATAAAATTGGAGTTAGTTTTTGTAATAACTAGTAGCATCTTTTATAATGGTAATAAATATAATGCTACAGAAGTACGTTTGAAAGTATAAGCAAAAGTGCAACTATTATAAACCTTATTACTAACTAGAGTTAGTATACACCCTGGAAAAAATCCTGAGCATCGACTATAGACAAGGAAGCTTGCTCAGTAGCACTTTTATACACAAAAACGTCAACAGTGCGACAAGGATGTTTATGAATGTGAGCGACAGTTCAGGGGGGTGCCACTGGCTACGTAAATGACATACAAAATATGACGTTTACAAAGACGGCGGCGTTAGTTCCAATTTTCGCCACATTGATAAAGATCCTTGTGAGACTATACTGCGCAAGTGTGTCTGTGGTTTTGCTCAAGAAGTTTGAAGGTACTTAAATAAGCAAGTGTTGGGTTTACAGTACCCTTAGCACGAACCAATATTGAATTCGAATAGTTTGCGAGCTAGTAATGTCAATGTCAAATTTTGTGTGGAATCTTGAACAGCAGCGTCGATATGCTGCACAACGTCAACAAAACCTAACAGGCTCAGAATATACCTTGTCTCCTTTAACCCAGACATTGGCAGAATCGTCACGTAATTAGGCGCAGCCATAATCATCAAAAATTTAATTGAATTGAACGGCAGCGCCACAACGGACGTTACGAGAACTAAAAATCAGTACAGGCAGTCCTCAACTTACCTAGTTTCAATTAACGTCCTTTCAAGTTACCTCGAACAATGTTTTGACACTATTCTTCAAACATACGCCAATTGTCTCGATTTCCGGCATAGAAGAATTCACTTGTCGCGAGGTCAATGTCCCTGGGGCCGGCGTCCGTGGGGATGGCTCGACTTACGTCGTTTCGATTTACGTCGCGTATTTCGAGAACCTAACATGCCGTAAGTACGAGGACTGCCTGTACACATTTGACGTATTACGATCTAGATCGAATTCGACTATTGGAATTCGATATTGGTTCGTGCTAAAGGTACTGCGGCACCGTGTCACCCGCCGGCCGCGCCCTGCGGAGGACGCCCGTTCGCACGCACTCAGTATTCTTGTCCCTCACGAGCACGCTTCTTATTTTATGTAACTGTACGTATTGCGTTTCCAGACTTTCAGAGATCTCGTATAATTTAAGTTTTAAGTACACGACTGTTCATTTTACACACAAGTGATCTTTAGTTGTTAGTACGACACGATTGTATTTCGTTCAACTGTACGGCCAGTCAGCCAAGGCTTTCCTTTATTCCTAAGTTTGTCGCGCGAATGCTTACAGAAGGGAGGAGCTCGTAATGTCATTCGTCACCTATTATATCTCAATTGTAAATACTTTAGCGTAAGACTTAGTTTTCGTGTAAACTGTTTAGTCCTTTTTCACTTAGTTTGAGTTCATTGATCAATCCCAATTTTAATTTTGTATTATACTTATTTTAAAATGATATAACAATATAACAAAAAAAAGTAAAAAAAAAAATACAAAAAACGAGAAAATAATTGTAATTCATGTAATAAATACTACGGTGATTTTTATTTTAACACTTATTACCATTTGTATTGTATATAGTAGACATTTCGTGCACTGATAGTCGACTTAAGTTACTCTTAAATTTAGATTTTAAAATGACATGGCTGTATTCTCCTTATGCAATGGCCCAAGACACAGCGTTGATAAGACTTATATGGCAATGACCTTTAGAGACGTTTTCTGTGTAGCTGGGTTTAGTTTAATTTCAGTCACATTGGTTTCCTAGGTTTGATTATTTCGAGGACAAATGCGGCGAACCGTAAACATAAATGTAATATTGTAAATATAAATGATACGTGTTTCTGTCGTGTACCCACGGAGTTAGTTGCATTTTACCATTGTTGCCAACTGCCAAAAGTATTGTAATGGTTTTTTTGTAGCGTTATGCGCAATGCGACCACATTAACAGGAGAAGGCGCATCGATAACTTTAACACCGATTTTAATTCTCCGATTCGGTATATAAGCCTACAATCTATAAAAAATATAATTGGTAATTATTGTGATAATTTTTACACACTTTTGTACCCTGATGATATAAATATTATGTTGGTGTAGTTTCATAGACATGCGAATGAAATGTAGATTTGTTAGCTTTGTCAATGTCAGCTGCGTCTGGTAATGTGGTCGTATGCGCGTAGGACGCGTTGAAACGGCGTAGCTGCTGTGAGACCGCGACACTGTAACAATAAAATACTGCATAATTATACAGCTCTTTTATTTTATCCAGAATCCCATTTCAAAGTCCGCCACACATTAAGTTGCAACCACAAGAGAAAAGGCACTTGCAACAGTGCTGAAATATTTGGGACTCGCAAAAAACAAGGTACATTTATACATGGTATAATGTACAACAAGGTTCCTGCCACGTAATATAATTAATTCCTACGATTTAGGTCACCATGCCGCCTTTGGCGCACTGACGGACGCAGCGAAACGCGGTAGTGAAATTGTGGTAATCTGTTGTACACTATTCCGTATATAAAAAAGTACTCCGTGTATACTATGAATTTATACCGTGTATATTGCATCTCCCTCTATCTGTCTCTTCTTCGCGCCGCGGCGTGCGGGGAGACTGCTCTGGACCGGCTGGTCCAACACAGTGGTCGCTGGTTCGCGCCTCGTCTTTAGGACGGGGTCCGTCCCTTCCACTCTTCACTCATCGCCCTCGGCGCGATCGAGCCCACCGGGACAAACTAAAATAAGTGATTAATTTAAGTAGCGTAATAATAAATACACTACATTTTTTGACATAATTAATTCTTAAATATTGTAGGTACATTTAATACCTTAATACCTACATTCGAAATTTCCGTATCCCGCATAATACGCTTTCCCGCTTGAGACGCGTTATTGGTTGAGTCCCTGTGAAATCGTCTTAAACGGGTTATACTGTTCATACTTACATAAATAAATACATATATTAGTGATAATAATAATAATATTAGTGATAAATAATATATATTAGATTTTTTTTGCAGTTTTGCCATTGCAGTTCCGCCGCTGAGCGAGATAGCGATATAAATTCATAGTGTATGACAGATTACTGCAATTTCGCTACCGCGTATCGCCGTCTCCGTGTGCTAAAAGCGTGAAAATTTAAAATAATAAACTATCAAAATTTCTCAATCAATAATGAATCTTAATCCTTTGATTATAAATCTCGTAATCAGCTGCAGAAATTTGTCAGATTTTCGTAGATTGATCTGTGGCTATCAGAGGCTCAAGCACGAACTTTGACATCCGTAATTTTATCGTCAACGTCAAATTTTGTAAGGTATGAAAGTAGAGTTTGTTGTTACGTTCGGTATGGGCGCTGCTAAGTTAAAAACTGACGATGCGATAAGATTACGGAGCTTTCAGAGTTAACGCTTGGGCCTCTGAACACCAATAAGTGCACTACTAGTAAAGTGAGAACGTTCTTCGATAAAGCGTCAGCTTATACTTTCAATAATAGTTAAGGCTCTGAGCTGGCATCGTCTCATTATAGATTCAGGGCTACAATATAACCATATTACAATACGCGCCACGAAAGGTGAGACTTAATGCGCCATGTGGTTTGACATGCGTAGTAGACGATTTAAAGGTCTCTTTAGCAGTATGAGGTCCGAGGTGGAAAGGGACCGGGCGCCATCGGGATGGCGGAAAGAGCGTGGGAGGCGCGGCACGCCGCCCGTCAAGTCTCATCTTTCGTGGCGCGTAGGTACTATATGATGGTTGAGAAGCAATTGTACAGCCTAACACCTTTCCAGTGAGTGAGAATAGTTTCTGTTAACATTTTCATTATATATAGTAACTATATGCAGTATACTTGTAAATCAAGCAGTTTAGTGCTTAAAACAATATAAAATATACATTTGCTTTTTCGTTGTATAACAGTTAAAGGGGCCTTTTACGTTAAAACAGTCTCACAGACTGTCGATCGAATCACGGTTTGATAAGTATTTCAACGGACCGGTGGCAACGCACCTTGGTCGTTCAGTCTGCTCTGCGATAAATCCATTCATGATTGAACTTGTCGCATACGACCAAAGTCCGATCGATCGTTGTAACGTGTATGGCCCCTCTTACTTGTAAATATATTTCGTTCGACATTGTAGTTTACCTATTGTATCAAGTGGTGGCGCTAGGATTGCCAGATCGAGAAGTCTTAATATCTGGGTAAGTAGATGTGTAATGTGTAAATGTAGAGATTTTGGGGAAGCTGCCGGACGCTACCTTCTCGTATAAACCTAATGTGGACTGAGGTAGGCGGTTTCAGCTGGCTTATTCGTTAACTTTTTTGACATTTACAGTGTGTAACAAAAGACAAAGTTGCAAGATTTACATCGATGCTTTTCTGAGCAAGTATCTTAGTAGCGTTATAATAAAGCAGTAAGGGATCAGTAAATAGCTCGGTGATTATCACTTCCATGTGTCAAGCTGTTAGCGAAAAGGCCTACAGTGCACAGTGTTGAGGTACAGAGTAAACAATATGTGTACCTCCATGATCATTCGTCGGGAGTCGAGAGATCACACCATAATATGTCGAATCATTGAATCAGTGATAAGGAGAACATCTAGACGATTCCACGATATCCGACCCCTTAAACAAAGTCGCCCCCGCGGGTATGCAACCAACCAAAGGCAAATGGGAATGAAGTTATTGCCTCCACTTCAGTATTTTATTCCCATTTGCCTCTGGTAGCAATCCCCGCGCGGACCACTGGCACTGGCGGCAGGTCAGTATCCGCAGCGGGGCCGATCGAGGTTCGGGTCCTTAGCGTATCAGCAGGGAACAACCAGTCAGTGGACAACCGCTTAATGGGATCTCCTTGGCCCCTCGCCTATATAGCACATTCAATGAAACGATTGATTCAAGAGGTCGTTTCAGCAACACTGCAGCATTCGAGATTACCGGCATAGACTTAGCAGGACCATTATCTATATTTGAAAAATAAATACAAAGTGCTGGATAATATTATTTACATGTGCTGTGTATAGAACAATACACCAGGAACTTACCGATACAATTTAAACTGCTGGCTTTATGATGGCATCCAGATGTTTCATCAGTAGAAGAGGTAGACCACAGACAATGGTACGCATTTTGTTGGCAGAGCCAACCTACTTCAAGGTGTAAACTGGCAATAAGTAGAGAATGCTACTAACTGCTACAATATTCGATAGAAATTATCCGCACCTGCAGCTCCTTGGTGGGTAGGTTGGTGGGAACGACTAATCAGAGTAGTGAAGGACATGTTACGCAGATTATTAGGAAAGGCTTCCATTGACTGGGTAGAACTGTCAACTATATTATGCGACTGTGAAATAGTAATCAACAGCAGACCTCTTACTTATGTGGAAATGGGAAAGTATGAGACCCTTAACACCCCTGATGTTTTTACAAGGATTAACAACCAGTGACACCCCGATCTGGAACAAATAGGTCACAAGAGTTTGAATATTAGGTTCAAATACTTACAACAATTGAGAAAAGACTTTGGGAAAATATTTAAAAGCGAGTATCTAGGATTATTAATTAGCAAGGGGAAAAAAAACTAAAAGAGAGCCTAAAGTAGGAGAGTAGGAGTTAATAGAAACAGATGCCAAGAGGCCTAGAGGTATAATAAAGGAGATATTCACAGGAAAGGATGGCTGTACAAGAGCAGGTAAAGTTCGAACTGCTTCTGGTGAAAAGATAAGATCTTATCAATGATTATTTCTTTTTGAAATTTTAGCAGCTTCAACAGAGTGGTGTGATATTTCCACATGCAATGAGAGGGACCCAGTGTAACCAGAATCAGAGGGTGTTACCACCCATCCCAATGTTACCACTACTAGGTCAGGTCAAACGATAAAATTACCTTTTAGATTTTTAAATTGAAATATGTTGTGTTTTGGTTCTTATGTTGCATATTGTGTTATTTAACGTAGGGCATTGATTATGATCTTAATAACATGTGTTTGTAACTATGTGATTATAATTTGTTTTCTAACAGTCTGATGTTTGTTATTACAAGGAATTTGTTTGTTTAGGAACTTATGTTCTTTTTCTGTTAATTATATTAACAGAAAAAACATAAGTTATATTAGCAATATTATTTTTGTAGGGACAACCATTAGACAAAGTATCCATAAAACTAGTTTTCTGCCCTCGAGAGGATGTTAGGTATTTTAAATAAACCTGGCAACTCGCTTGTGACTTGTCAAGCGAAAAAAACGCGCTTTTTTACCAGCAAAATTATTATAAAAGATTTGTGGGAAACATAAATAAATACTCCTTTGATTCAACAAGCTGTGTATTTAAGAACCTTGCAAAAATAATTTGAACATACAACAACAAAAAGTGTTATGCTGCCTGATTTTATCAAACTTACATCCTCTACACGGGTTAACTATTGCACCTTCATTACGGTTGACCGTCGTCGGCTCCATGTTGGGCGCCAGCAACGGCTTCCTTGAACAAATGGTATGAAAATCTCATTTATTATTTTACTTCGGTTATAGACCAACGCAGAGAAAGTAGTCACAGATACTAACATAAGAAATTAATAGTTAAAAAATTAAACGAAGAATTATGAATTAGAAATGGCAGTTATTCGCTATGTGCGAAGTACATGGTGGGGGTATTGTGAAACGATCGCAGCGCTTATCGTGGCAGAAATACGCAACAATCCGGGAAAGTAAAGTCAATTTGCACGGAGTTCGTAATAAATAAATTTTTTAAAAAGCCTAATAATAGATGTTGTTGTGTTGTGAACTGCAAAAATAACGGCACAAATAGTCTGTGTTTATATTTCCTACATTGGACTGGAAATTAAATCAAAGAAATAAGTGGATAGATGCCATAAAAAGAAATAAGTAAGCGAAATAACCATAAATTATGATCAATTTTATTTGCGCTATATTTTATGTGATATTCATTATTTTCTTTATTATTTTAGTGTAGATGGGTCACCATGGTATCCCAAACCTGACGACACAATTTGTAGTGAACATTTTATGGGAAAAAAAATCAGACGAGGAAGAAAATCCGAGTTATGCTCCTTCGAATATTCCCTGAAATATATCGAAAGAGGAAGGTTAATGATTCACAGGTCCTAGCTAGATATACACACTTGACAAAACGATGAACCACAAAGTCTCAGATACCACATCAAGTCAAATAATAATTAAATCAAACTCAACCTTTTATGGTCGATCAAGTATGTCAAGTCAATATGT